CCCTAATCTGCTTAGTGCATGCTAGGTGAGCACTGGAGTTGGCACAAAGAAGACAATAGGGATGAGCAGTTGGAAAGAGCATAGTTGTCCTGACTTTCACTGAAGTAGTGATCACATAATCTGTGCCTGAAAGAATGGGAGGGAAGCTTTCAGCAGTAACTGCCTTGTGATTAAGTAACACATGTGAAACTTACTTTGATAGATTTCTGCATCAGTATTGTCCCTTTAGGGTATTTTTACTACTCTGGAGAGTGCATGGTGCTGGCAGGACATTGCATGTGCTGTTTCCTGCAGCCTTGCAAAATAATACTTCTGGGTTGTGTTTTTATGTTTTTTTGCCCTGAAGTGTGGTTGTTTACCTTTTGGACTGTAAGAAATGTTCTCTCCAGCCCTTAGGCTATCAGAGCACAAAGTCAGTGTTCATAAGAGCAGAAAGTATGGCTGACTTGCAGGTCTGTTTCTGCATTTCTCAGCCCACAGAGCAGAAAGAGAACTAGTGTCCTTCCTTGGATGGGTGACTCACTGGCATGTTGTTGCCTCCAGTTCTTCCCTTTGATTTGGCTGTTCTTGTGCCAGGAAATCAGAAACCCACAGACCCTGGTTTATGCCAAGCAGACTTGACTAGAGTGCCAGAGAATGCAGTTTTAGAGACCAGGCACCACCAGTTTGCATGTCTCCAGGGGAAACCCATGGCCTCCTGATCTTTCCAGCTCTTTGCTTGTTTTTTTGCATAGTGTGACCTCTAGAAACAACCTGGCACCTGAACTGCCTCTAATCCCTTGTGGCTGCTTAAAACACAGCATGTAAGTGAACTTTGAAAGGGATAGGAGTTTTTCATCCTACCTGGAGAGCAGCATTACTCTGAGAGTGCTGAGGCAAGATGCTGTACCAGACCTCAGATGATCCACACCTCGGTCTGTCCTGTGCAGCCAGCTCTTGTGCTTTCTGTTCTTTTGGGTTTCTCTGCACTAGGAAAACATTCCTGCCCATTGTAGCTCCTATGTGTCTTCCATCCATGTCTCCAGCACAGCCTTTGGACTGAGGGATGTTGCTTCCTTCTAGGTTTGCACTGTAGCACTTTCTTTCCTGGTATCCTGTCTGTCTCTGTACTGTTGGGTGTAGCTCAGATAACCCATCTATCCAAACTGAAGTAGATTCAGTGTAGCATTTCCATTTCATTATCTGCCTCACCAAGGTCTGTCAAGCAAATATCCTCCATTGATTACTGAGGTGCTGAATATTTGCTAGGTACACCCTAATATTCAGCTGTTCTGATGAAAGGTTTAAGTTTTAGGTCAGTTCATGGCAGGGGAGTGCACAGACTAAGCACCAGTGGCTGTGTCCCTCAGCAGCAGGATGCCAGAGGGGCACTGGCTCCTGCTTTCTTGAACTCCTGTCTGAGTTATGGGATCTGCTTCATGGCCTTAGTTCTTTGTCTGGACTGTGAATTTGATTGGGGAAGATGTTTACTTACTGTGAGCCAGAATCTGGGTGTGCCTAGCGTGATTAATTGTGCCAACAGCCAACTTCCTGACGTCCCCACGTGGAGAGATCCTCTAGGCTGTGAGCCAGCAAATCACAGGCCCGATTAGGGGCTGCAACCAATGTCACTGCCTGTGACTCATGTAAAAGTAAAACTTTGATCCTGGCAGGAGTAACAGGATGCACAAAGCAGTTTGGATGTATCCTGTGAGGCCACACCTTGATATTAGCCGTTCATCTGCATTTACTGCTATATTAATGTGGAAAGCTGCCCTTGGGACTTTGAAAGCACAAAATCTTTTATATGGGAGCCTGAGGCCATATATACAACTTCCAGGATTATTTTGAATG